TCTGTGTGAATTTCTCTGGGGGTTGGTGTATTTGATAGAAAATACCTTGCATTCATTCAAGTGAATACACCACCGTCATATATTTTCTTGTGTGGGAGATGGCCCATCAATATATATAAAATTCTGAAATGTTATTATATCCTTTATATATGTAACTGATAGCCTTTGGTGGTCCCTTCAAGAGGATTCAGACATCGCTTTCCGTTTTGTCTATTAAAATATTTATCAAATTAGTAAATATTTTTTTCTTTTATTAAGTAGGAAACGTTCTCTTTCTATTTTGTATAAAACGCAAACCTCTTAAGTTTACCCCTGAGCAATCTTCTAACTGTTCTGTACCTTCATATGAATTAGAACTGATATCATAAATGTTATTTTGTATCACACTATCGACAGTTATTTACCAATAGTGAGAGATAATTTTGAATCACAGCATCTTTCAACCGAGGTTTGGGTGTTAGTAATGTACTTCTACATATTGAAAAATTTCTCCATTTCTAGATAATTTAGGGTACTGTAGTACAGTAGTTACTTCTTCAATATCCCCCAAATTGGAAATGTTTCTTACCCATATATAACTCATGTTATCACTGTATAGGGTTAGGTAAGTTTAAAAAAATACACCACAGTCATATATTTTCTTGTTTGGGAGATTTCCCATCAATATATATACAATCCTGAAATGTTATTATATCCTGTATATGTAACTGATAGCCTCTGGTGGTCCCTTTAGGAGGATTCAGACATCGTTTTCCGTTTTGTCTATTAAAATATTTATCAAATTAGTAAATATTTTTTTCTTTTAGTAAGTAGGAAACGTTCTTTTTCTATTTTGTATAAAACGCAAACCTCTTAAGTTTACTCCTGAGCAATCTTCTAACTGTTCTGTATCTTCATATGAATTAGAACTGATATCATAAATGTTTTTTTGTATCACACTATCGACAGTTATTTACCAATAGTGAGAGATAATTTTGAATCACAGCATCTTTCAACCAAGGTTTGGGTGTTAGTAATGTTATTAAATCGCGCATGTATAGGTGATAGCCTTTGGTGGTTCCTTTAGGAATATTAAAAAAGTTTCAATTTTGCTGTTAAGTAGTTCCCAAGCAATCATTTGTCTTTACACGGTCATATACTTCTGGGTGAATTTCTCTGGGGGTTGGTGTATTTGATAGAAAATACCTTGCATTCATTCAAGTGAATACACCACAGTCATATATTTTCTTGTGTGGGAGATGGCCCATCAATATATATAAAATTCTGAAATGTTATTATATCCTTTATATATGTAACTGATAGCCTTTGGTGGTCCCTTCAGGAGGATTCAGACATCGCTTTCCGTTTTGTCTATTAAAATATTTATCAAATTAGTAAATATTTTTTTCTTTTATTAAGTAGGAAACGTTCTCTTTCTATTTTGTATAAAACGCAAACCTCTTAAGTTTACCCCTGAGCAATCTTCTAACTGTTCTGTACCTTCATATGAATTAGAACTGATATCATAAATGTTATTTTGTATCACACTATCGACAGTTATTTACCAATAGTGAGAGATAATTTTGAATCACAGCATCTTTCAACCGAGGTTTGGGTGTTAGTAATGTACTTCTACATATTGAAAAATTTCTCCATTTCTAGATAATTTAGGGTACCGTAGTACAGTAGTTACTTCTACAATATCCCCCAAATTGGAAATGTTTCTTACCTATGTATAACTCATGTTATCACTGTATAGGGTTAGGTAAGTTTAAAAAAATACACCACAGTCATATATTTTCTTGTTTGGGAGATTTCCCATCAATATATATACAATCCTGAAATGTTATTATATCCTGTATATGTAACTGATAGCCTTTGGTGATCCCTTTAGGAGGATTCAGACATCGTTTTCCGTTTTGTCTATTAAAATATTTATCAAATTAGTAAATATTTTTTTCTTTTAGTAAGTAGGAAACGTTCTTTTTCTATTTTGTATAAAACGCAAACCTCTTAAGTTTACTCCTGAGCAATCTTCTAACTGTTCTGTATCTTCATATGAATTAGAACTGATAACATAAATGTTTTTTTGTATCACACTATCGACAGTTATTTACCAATAGTGAGAGATAATTTTGAATCACAGCATCTTTCAACCAAGGTTTGGGTGTTAGTAATGTACTTCTATATACTGAAAAATTTTACCATCTCCAGATATTTCAGGGTAGTGTAGTACAGTAGTCAATTCTCTAATATCTTCCAAATTGGAAATTTTTCTTACCCATATATAACTCATGTTATCACTGTATAGGGTTAGGTAAGTTTAAAAAAAAAGACAAAACAATTTAAATGTATATTAATAATTTCCGTCCATGAAAAGTTATCGGTGAGTTGGTGTTGAAGCGAAAATACTTTTTGAGCCCAAACTCTATATATTAGTTTATTAGAACTCAGCAACAGACTAAACACCTCAATATTCAAATAGGTTATTTTATTTGTATAGTTATTTATATTTTTATTTCTTGTATAGTTAAATGTAATATTCATAATATTGCATACATCTTTTATATGTTATTTTTATTTATTTTGTTATTTATAATAAATATACATTTTTAAGTATCCAATTTTGTCTTTGTTTTTTTTTTAACATGGTTAATAAGTGTGCTATACTTAATTGTATAAGTTGTAAGGGTGACAAAACAATTAAATATTCCTTATTTCAATACCTAAAAATGATTTGCAACGTGAAAATTGGTTGCAATTTATTTATAAAATTAACTACAAAATCACAAATAAACCTATATTTGTGTGAGTTACATTTTAAAGCTGATGATATTATTTGTACATATAGGTTTTGGAAGAACTTTAAAGATGTTGAAATGGTAAGAAACTAAACCAATATTTAAATATATTATGTTGATATGGTTATATTATTCTTTTAAATTAATACATACTATACAATCTTATATTTAGAATTTTCAAAATTTTAACAAGCCTAAATTAAGACCTAATGCTCTACCATATGTTACTAATATTTCTGTGGAAGTTAGTCCAAATGTAAAATGTCGGAGACAACTAATATGGCCACAAAATAATTTTGAAAATGTACTATTAAACTCATAAACAATTAATGAAAATTGAAGTACCTTCATATGCATTTTTTAAATAATTTATTAATCTAAATAATAAATATTTCAATTTTGATATTAATAAATTTAAAATTGTAAATACTTTTGATGAATTATAAAGATATCAAAATTTTGAATTACCTATTAGTTGGAGCAAGTTTTATCAACCAAAATGCAATAACATATTTTTGTTTTAAATATGAAAATTTCACTAATATTGTAAAACAGTTATAGAAAACCAAAATTACAATGAAGTTAAATGCTTATTGGAGCTCCATCCATAGTATATGATCTAAGGGTAACTGGTTATTCATCATACATAATCATAGATAATTATCTAATACAAATTATGTATTATTTGTTATATATATTGTATATATTATTGTTCTATCTTCTATGGTATTATCTATGAGAGCCCACTCCCAGACACGAAAAATATACGAAAAAAAATCAAAGAAATCTATGTAGGTAATAGATAAATAGAAGAAAATAAGAAATAAAAAAATTCAAAAATATGCATGAATGATGAATAATGGATGATAATTTAAATTAAATGTATCGTAAAAATAAGTAAGATAGGTTATATGTCAGAGGCGGATCCTGGGGGCGGGTGACAAAGGGGATATTTGCCCCCCAATCGCCGTAGTTTCCCTTTGTTTTACACTGGGTTTAGCCAGAGAGCCTATATAGGTTTAGCCAATTGTTATACTTCTTGTATTTCCCCCCCTCCAAAAAAAAAAAAAAATTAAGCCCTGGATCCGCCACTGTTATGGGTACTAATGTACTATAGTTGAGAGTAAGATTGTAGTTCATACCAAATACTATATTATATAGTATTAATTCATACTCAATCTCGTCACTAGTGTGATCACAGGATACCATATTATCATAGACCTATAAACAGTAAAAACTAGTTTATAGGGCTACGCAGGACACAGATTTGGTGATGATCTATACTTTTTATTGGTCTGAACTCTGAGCTATTATAGACCTATCAACAATAAACTAATTTACAGCGCTCCCCACACCGCCCTGCCATTGGTTAATCCAGACGACATAACTAAGAGAGAAAATATAACATTAAAGCATATGAGAAAGAGAAAACATATTTTGGGCTATGTTTATTGTTTTGGTTAGTTATAATTAATTAAATTTGCCATGGTTTTGGCACAGTGTAACGGCCCAAAACCTCTTTCTCTCTCAACAATCCCGTCTGATGATTTCTCTCTATGCGCTGTCCATTAGTTTATAGGTCTATGGTCCGAACTTTGATCTACCATATTATACGACGATTTAGGAAAGATATATTTTCTACAGCCGTTGTCACAACTCACATCATGTTTAATATCTACAACTCAACATGGTTACATAGTTGAATCTTGAGTGCCAAAATATGATTCTCACATATTAAAATTTTTATCAAATACTGTAAATGATTTACAGTATTTTCCGTTTGGTTCTAGGTTCAGTATCTCAGCTTCTAATATTCTAGTTTGTTCTTTACTTCTATTTTCTATGCAGTATGGCTGTTGTGTGTACATGCTATTGAGTGTATCCTGGACACTATAGTATTTTTGGTATTTCGTAACCGCCAGTGGTGGTGACTGATCAACGAACCCCAATAATTAAAGAAAATTAATTAAAGATGAGTTCCCTTGACTAGTTTTCCACAGTAGAAATTACTCTACATTGGCTGTGATTATAAATTTTAATAGTACAACATAACAAAGAATAAAGATGTATAACATAAATAAAGAGTTGATAATTTATTTTTTAATTATTTAGACTTAAGTCTGTGAGGAACAATAATATTAAAAATATAATTTTAAAATATAAATATAATTAGACATTAGACATTTTATCGAACTGAATAACAATTATAAACATTAAATACTATTTATTCTGATACAACACATAAACACAGGAATTTTCACAGCCTTTTATCAAACATGACCTGAAAACAAATATTAAACTATCAATCAAATATAAATGTAGTGCTGCAATTTGCATAAAAACAATTCTAATTGAAATTGTCAAGAAATTATTGCAAGCCCCTCCTACTGGCTATATTGTATGTAGGTCAGGGCTGGAAGTGGTTAAAGCTATTTAAAAAAGTGACTAAGTGACTGAATTTATGCCTAAAAGTGACAAAAAAGTTACCTACATACATTTGTTTCATAACAACTTACCAGTTATTAAACATTTGTCTTTGAATCTCTATATACCTATGATTTGTTTGATTCTAACTTACTTAATTTTGTTGAAATTACAAAAAAATAATGATAATAATAAACACAAATTTTAATAGCAAATGATTAAATCATATTACCCATTTCAATTTATAATGTTTATAATTTAGAATAATATTCAAGATCATTGTTTAGGAACTTCCTTTATTTTAATCATAACTAAAAAAACACGCCTATGGTTTGTTATAATAGGAATTCATCCCAGATGGTTTTTCAAATATAGTAGACTAATAAATATATGAAAGTTTGATTAGGAACATTACATTAAAACAAAGATTTTGGTAAAATAATATGTTATACATATAACATGCCTATAAACAGGCCTATTCAACAGCCGTAAGTCATAACACAAGAAAGAGGTGTACTTAATTATAATATTACATTTTTATTATAATTATATAGGTAGGTACTATAATTATATTTATTATTGATTATTGTATTAAATTTTATTATTTTGGACTTGTATTAAATTAAATTTTATTAAAGTTTAATATATGATTTAAGTAAGCAATTAACATTTTTTATATATTATATAATATTTTATGTAACTTAAATGTATTTTTCAACACAATTTTAATATATTTATACTTCAGTTTTGATATATTTTCATTCATTTTCATCGGGACTTTTTTCCGTGATTCAGGCATATTACTGTACATTCAAACATGAAGTTGGTGGCCATATGTAGTTTAAATATAAATTTAGGTACATTTTGAAAATAAGTGACACAAGTGACTTATTTTCTAAATAAGTGACTTAAAGTGAGTCAATTTTAAAAAGTGACTTACTTCCAGCCCTGACGTAGGTGTGAACCCCATTGGAATCCCAACTATATAGGTTTGGCCCATAGACCTATGAAGATTTTTGTAGGTCCAAGGGTCGGGCACCCAAACTAACCTAATCTTGTCTCAAATTTCTAAGGGCTCTCTACCTCTTATTTACTCAAAACAGCTATTTGCATGTTGTACGAGTGTTATGATTAGTTATCAACAATATATTATCTGTATTTTATAAGAGCAATTTATTGCTTACTTGTTGTCAGATTTCAATACAATGGTCGGATACGAATCATGTTTATCTAATTTCGATAACTGATTTGCAATAAATGTTATGTGTCCACTGATTCCTGGTGTAACTTCTCCTGAAGCTTAATTTTTAAATAACAAATATTGTAAGAAAAACCAAAATAATTAATAATAATCCTTCATATTATATGGCAATTTTATAACTCACAAAAAACACATAAGCCTTTAGTGTCTGATACCAAAACACCAAGTACATTTTGTTCGGATTGTCTGAAAAAAAAAAAACAATGAATAATGTAAATAAAAATGAAATATTTATATTTAATTGTATATTAATTTAAAAAAAAAATAGCTTAGATGCAGGTAATACATAATACTAATAATATCATTAAAAAATCATCAGCCAAATTAGGATTTATCAAGCACACTTGTAAAGACTTCCACGATGCTCATGCTCTTAAATTACTATATTTAATTTTATTAAATTGTTCATAATAAACATTTTATAAACAAATATAGGTAATCCTTGAGGCAGTTATAATGCGATTAAAATATTAAATTGTTATTTATTTTAAAATATTATATAATATTAGTGATAGTTTTTTAAAACGTATTGATAGTGGGTACCTATGCCAGTATATTTTATGACTTAAATTTAAGTATCTTACAATTTTGAAACTTCTTCTAATACGTGTTTCTCCATTTCTAGTCTTTTACAACACCTGTGGAGTTGTGCTTAGTAATTCTTGTTTGTTTTGACCAACAAGAGATGTAAATACTAAATACTCTAATGCTCTGAACGACTTAAGAACGAAGGCGGAATAAATCTCTGAAGAATTAATACAATCCTAAAGTAAACTCAGGTACTCGGCTACTTTGTGTTTATTTTTTATTGATAACAGGAGTCCCAATTTACAATTTTCCGTATAACCCATAGAGTATAACCACAGATTACTTGTGATACTAAAATTATATTTCCATAATATCATGACTTATGGGTTATGACATATACACTTATGCACGGGTATGAATGTGTAAACGTACTATAAGCTTTTTTATAGCTATTAGTCTATAGAGTATTAGAGTGAATGGTTCTAAATAATTTATATATTTTCAAAAAAAACCTCAAAAAACATGAATATTCCCTATACTACACGGGTTAAAGTAGCAACCTTAGCGTACGCAGCGCAGCCTGTGACCGTTTAATCGTGCGACTCATTTCGGGACGTTATCAGATAATAGTATCTTCATCTGCGGAATTTCATGATAATATTATTTTGTGGACGTCACGAATCACAATCTTACGTTACTATTTCCTATTTCGTATTATATGTGTCTATATATTATGTAATTGTAAATTGTAATTGTAATACTACAATAATTGGTATTAACTATTAGCTTTGCTTATATAGTCAATGGTACTATAGGTAACAATGGTGGTATAAGCTATAATAGCTACGAGCTACAAGGCTACAAGCCTACTATTTACTATTTAGTAGGTACAGTTGTTTTATGCAACAAGTGGAGATTGGAGATACATTTTTTTTATTATATTCCTTAAAATTTTGCACACACTTATTAAGCAATATTAAATTACAAATTTATCTTAATTAACTGACATTTTTATATTGCTCAGTATCTTTGTTCTAGTTGTTGCTACACAAATAACAATGTGTCTTCATATGAGGATATAACATTTGTATTTTGTAGGTCATTGTCATTGGAACCTGATCACCTGTAAGTCTTATGTTGCCCTTCCATTGATAACAATTTTAAACTCTATTTTCTTTGATTTCCTTGTTATAGAATTTCAGACAGATTCAAATACAGTTTATTGTTGAATCATTGTGCTGACACTCGAGTACACAAATCTTGAGCTCTAATACTATAACTATAAATATTTTAAAAGCATAACCATCGTCTGCGTTATCATGCTGAACACAGGGTTTGTTTTATGTTTATTGCAATTACATTTATTATGTTAAATCAATATTAAATATATTTTTTATTTTATATTTATATATACATCAATTTTTTATTTAGAAAATTATCTGGACTGACTTTGTTCATTACTGGAGGTAGTCGGGGTATTGGTAAAGCAATAGCCTTAAAAGCAGCTAGGGATGGTGCTAACATTGTTATTGCTGCCAAAACTGCTGAGCCACATCCAAAATTACCAGGAACTATATACACAGCTGCTAAAGAAAGTAATTTAAAAACAAAACTATTAATATTATATTTTAATGTCCATGTGTAAAAATGATCTATAGAATGCTACCGTATTTTGTATAAAGTAGTGTATAAAACTATAAAATGTGTCATAAAAAAACGATTTTTCATCTAGTTATATCAAGACTTTTAGAGGTCTCCTTATTCGCATTGCTCATCCCCGTCTTACAAATGCGTAACATAGTGAATTAATGTTCAGTAGTTCATGTTTAGTGTTGTTAGCTTAAATATTAGCATGAATTTTGACTTGTTATTGAACTTAAAGGTTAGGTTAACAACATAATCCGTATTTATAAGTTGTTTTTTATGATAATTAATTTATAATTCTAGTTATAACTTCATGAGTAGGTATGTATAATATGTATAATATTGCAATTTAAAAATGCTGATAATTTTAATATTATAAAAAAACTGAAACACAGTCAGGGGAGGATTTGAGGACAGATCCCATGGCTCTTTAAATACATGTAGCCCCCTACAACAGTAAGCTAAAATTCTTGTCATCCATCTCCTTAAAAAGAATGCTAAATACTCCACTATACACCGTTATGTTACGCACTTTTGAGTCGGAGACTACTAATGCTTTTGTATAGATTAAACATTGCTAGTATACATTTTTTCAAACATTTGTTTTACCACAGAGAATAGAAAATTTAGATTTCATTCCAACATATAAAATCAACATAATAAAATAAAATTACAATTGGTCACTGAAATAACTATAATTATTTTTCTGAGTTTAAATCGTTCAAAGTCCAATTATGTAATCATCTATAGAGATAGGTTGTTGATGACTTGTGTTTTTTTTTCCCTTTTATTCTATAAAATGCTATTTTAGTTAAAAATTAGTTTCATGCTCCTTGATTCAGTGGAGCTGAACTAAAATTTAATTGGGGTGTGCAAAAAATGGTTTCTTATTACCTGCCACCTTTTGCACCATACATAATCCTAATCCTAATTACCTAATCCTACATAAAAGGTATGTATGCTGATCATACATATTTATTTTATAGGTCAGGGGGATACACATACAAGGCTCCTGATATATTGTTACAATAGCGGTTGAAAAATATTTAAAATACATAGGCATACATTTTTTTACAAGCATTTAAAGTTTGAATTTTGACAAAAGTTATCAAATTTAAAATTTAAAAATGATTTTGTAGTTCAAAATGTATAAAGTGTTCAACTTAAATAGCTAATGATTGAAAAATTAAAACAAGCTTCCACGTAAATAGGTAAATAAATAACTATACTCACAATAGTATCATCAAGTATACTTAGTAATATATCATAGGCTGACTGGCATAGGCACAGATCGTCTTCGTTCAGAATCGTTTTTCGTTTACAATGATATATCATTGAATTCTAATTTGACACCATCCATTTCAGTGAGCCACTTGTAACCTACTGTATAGCAGAGCGACACCCACTTGCCCACCTTCTTTTATTTATATTTTACTTTCTAATTAACAGTAAAACCCCTCTCGTCCACCCTCGGCTGATCCGTCACTCCGGTTGATCCAACCATAGTATTATTGATATGAATATTATGTAATTTAAAAATACAATTTGGATTTTCCAATTTATAGTAGATATATAAAATTAATTGCTAGTTTCTAGTTTAATATTTTCCTTATTGCTTGTCTGCTTTAGCACTCCGACCTCTCTCGTATCGTTTCTATTGGTGTGCTTATTTTTTTTTACGACAAAAAATGAATATTCTGTATATTCTGATAAATCGACCTTTTTCGCGTTCCCCTGTCCCGAAGGTGACGGATTAGAGAGGTTCTACAGTATTTTAATAATTTTATATATTTTTTTTACTGTGAATTAAACTTAAAATTTAAATGTTTACCAAATTGTGTTAATAATTTTTAGGTAATTTTCTATATTTTTTTGCAATTTAATACATTTATTTTATTTTGGGTCATTTTCAATACTTTTTAAGGTCATCAACATCCTATCTCTAATTATAAACATAAACCAAGTCTTGTTATTATTTTGAAATATGTGAACTTTATTTCTTATTGTTTTTATCCAATTATTAATATGTATTATATTTATATTACTTTTTTTCAAATTATAGGTTAAAAAAATATAATACTTGTACTCAATAACTGTGTACCAAAATTGCTTAACATGAAATATAAAAAAAAATAAGAACACATTTTTATAAGATTTATTTAAATAAAAATGAATTAATACCTAGATTTATGATGTTATTGTGCTGCACAATGAATAAGTCTCCTTTAAGCTCCAATGTCCTCTCAAGTAAATTAAACTATAGAAAAACATTTATATATCTTTATAGTTAATATTTTAATTTTGTATTTCAATTTCATATTATTTCATAATGATTTATATCTATTTTTATTTTATTATAATCAACATTTTTTAGTTGAAGAAGCCGGAGGAAAATGTTTACCTTGTGTAGTGGATGTCAGAGATGAAGGTCAAATAGCAGATGCTGTTGATAAATCAATTAGTAAATTTGGAGGTATCGATATAGTTGTTAACAATGCAAGTGCGATTTCATTGACTCCTACATTAGATACAGAGATGAAGAGATATGATTTGATGCATAATATCAACACAAGAGGAACATTTTTAGTGTAAACATTTAAAATATTATTATTTAATTGATTCAATATTGTTTCTGATTTTAGGGTTAGCTCTGAGACATTTTCATATAGTCAATATTAAACAGTTAAAATGACTACTTTACAAAATAATATTTTATTGCGATGATTAAGTCAAATAATAGTATAAATCTAGTTTTAAAAAGAATATTAAACTATTTAATGTCAGGTATTTTTAAAGTTCATTCCAAATAGCTTAAGGAGTTTCACTATTTTCCAATAAAACTATAATCAAATTATAGGCTAAAGAATTATAATTAAATAAGGGACTGGGTTCCCACAACTTGCGTACTTGCCAAGTATACCAAAAATCATATGGGCCAGTAATTTACACATACAATAATTAGTATTCCAATAACTAGTATATTTGTCAAATATATTCATTAGTATTTTAGCCATTCCTTTGACTTGTGATAGATTAGCCAACAATTCTCGTGAAACACACTAGTGGTAAAATAATTGTACTAGTAGACTGTTTCTATAGAATGGCAAGTTCCACAGATGACAAATATTTGGCAAAAACACCAGTCGTTTTAACTCTTCTGGACGCTTAAACAGTCTGGTGCTGTGCTTGTGAGTGTCAGCGCTATTAAATAAATTAAAGCTATTTTTTTAGTAATATTTATTCATGAAATAATTGTTCATTATAAAATTATGTACAAATAATAAGATACTTGATACAACTCCAATACACACTTGTTTGGCATAGGTGATATATTTTAATAGTATTTCTTTGTTTTAGGTCAAAGATGTGTATACCTCATCTGAGAAAAAGCAAACATGCGCATATCTTAAACATTAGTCCTCCATTGAACATGAATCCTAATTGGTTTAGAGACCATGTTGCTTATACAATGGCTAAATATGGAATGTCAATGTGTGTATTAGGAATGGCTGCTGAGCTAAGATCAGATAATATTGCTGTGAATGCTCTATGGCCAAGAACTGGTAATAACAAAATAGAATATTAGATTTTGAATTTATAACCTAACCTAACCTGTATTTATTTTACAATGATGTGTGTTTTATTTTTATTTTTGTGTCATAATCGTTTGGGGCAGTAAAACTGCTTTGATTTTTTTCAATAGTATTTTGTTCGAGTGTCAACAATCTAGTTGGTGTATTGGGGAGGTCGAAATTTAATATTCCTTATAGTTTTTAAAAGCGCAAGGAAACGTGAATTTGTACTCTAATTCAGTTTTCGACAAAATATTTTGACTTGTTTTGAGCTGCTTAACTAACATATTCAGTTTCCAATGTTTTAATTTTTTTCTTTTACTATCAATAAAATTTTATTTGTTGGGTAAAAAAGCTTGAAATTTTGAATACAAGGTTTCTAGGCACACGTGTCGTATGCTATAATTATATAGAAAAATTATTTTTAATGACGAAACTTGTATACAATTTTTAAAAGATCGTGATTTACTATCTAATACAAAACTGTATACAAAATTAAATTCTATTGGAGAACAATGTAATTGTGAAATGAAAGAAACTTAAAAAAAAAACCGGAAAAGTGATGTAAACGGAGATATTATTATAACAAAATATTTACGATGTAAAAAAAAGGTTGTCAAATATGGCAATCCATTTGTAAAGAAAATCCATTTTTTACTTACACCGACAACCATGGAAAAAATAATAGTGGATTAAGTTTATGCCAAAGATTTGTAGATTTTTATATATGATTTATTTGGTAGATAGCATACAACACGTATATGTAGATTTTTGTAAATATAATTTTCTTGGTAGATAGCATATGACACGTGTGCCGGTTTCTAATATATTGTTACAGTAATATTTGAAAAATATTAAAAATCCAGTCATAATTTATAACATTTTGCAAAACTAAGCCCCATTTAAAAAATTATAAATCAATACAAGAACTACAAAATATAACATATGTTGAATCATATTAAGTATATTTTACACAACATTTAAAAAAAAAATTAATAAATAGTTATGTATTAAACTCGCTCGGTTTAAATTTAAAAAAGTTATATAAAAAAACAATGATTACTCAATTACTATTTACAACCTATCCTATTTAATTGTATACATTTGTATTATAGCAATATACACTGCGGCTGTTGAAATGTTATCTGGATCTACTGAAGCAAAAAAGTTATCTCGTAACCCAGAAATTATGGCAGATGCCGCTTATGCGGTACTTAGTAGGTCTGTTCAAAATTGTACTGGACAGTTTCTAGTCGACGACGATGTATTACGACAAGAAGGAATCACTGATTTGGACCAATATGCCAGTGATCCAAGTAAGTTGTTTAATTTTATTAATTTTTGTAGATAGCTATTTGTTGGCAGATTACACATTGAACCGGACCCTTCAAGTTATAATAATTTACATATTTACTTATAAGTTACATAAAAATTGAAATATTGTTAAAAAGCCAAATGTATTAACACAGATAAATAATTTACTTAATTTTATATTTAATAATTCAATTCAAAAAGGACATTTCACTCTAATATAAAAGTTAAAAGCTAAACAACATAAGATTGGATCTGTCAAGTTCCTCGAGAAAATAAATAGTATAAGACAACCTCATAATTAATTTTATACATTTCTAATGAAAAACAGATAACTACAATATATTTAGTTTAAAGCAACTGTGGTTAGAAATAATAATTTAACTTTAAATGTAAAAAATACATGTTTTTATGTAAATTGGACTATGTTAATTAATTTTCAAAATTTGTTGCTATATAACTTAAAATTTTTACATTTGCATTTACAAATTGTATAAATTTGCACTTAGATCCACAATTAATATTATACTGATTTTTATTTCATTTTTTGTTTAGCCTATAAAGGAGATTTAATGATGGACTTCTTCTTGGATGAATCACCTCATGATGGTTTCAATCAAGGAAAAGAAAAATCTCAACAAGCTAAAAAATTAAATGGAAAAGATAATATTGAGGGTATATTCACAAAAATCAATTCACATCTGACTCCAGAAATAGCCAAAGGAACAAATGCCTGTTTCTTATTTGTAGTAAAAGGTTATTAGAACTGAATACACTCATAGTAAATATACAGTAAATCCTAATATTTTTTGGACTGATTTGTATAATCACAAATTTATAGTGACTTTCTTAGTTATTATAATCGTCTCAACTCTATAGGTAATGTAAATATGTATAATATTAATCTTTTTAGGAGACGAGGATAGAACTTACTATGTAGATCTAACTGGAAATGGTGCAGCTGGAAAAGGTAAACCAACTACAAAACCAGATGCCACTTTAACCATGGAAGCTGATAAAATAGAAGAATTATTTGATGGTAAGTTACATTTATTTACTTTATTATAATTGCATTTCTAATCATTCAATAAAATATTAACTTACATTAACTGTTATCTTTTTAGGAAAGCTAAAAGCTGGCGACGCTTATATGTCTGGTAAACTTAAGATCAGTGGCAGTTTAATGAAAGCAATGAAATTGGAGAAACTTATGAAATTATTAAAGGCAAAATATTAAGTTTTTTATTTATGTAAAACAGTATGTATACCGCTTTTGAGGAATTGATTTGTATTTCAACCTAATGTTATGTTGAGAAAAAAAAATTGTGGTATTATTGAACAATTAAAAAATAATCATCGTTTCACCTTACTTCAATATTTTTATAATTATGTAAATCATGTGGTTTTTTATAAAATAAATATATGAAAAGTTATGTTTGTATGGTTTAAATAAATAATTTAAAAATATGTAGCTCAAAATAAAAAAAAATTATTTTATACACAATTTTTACACATCAAACTTAATTTTGAACTCTAGGCTGAGCAATACTGAAAAATTAGTAATGCCAATAAATGTATATAATAATGTTTATAAAAATATTATTTTGCTTAAATAATAGTGGTAACTTAATTGTTATAAACAATAAATTATATAATTATGAGTTTTCATGATATACATCTATTTCAGATAGAATATTTTTAAGAGATTCAAAAACACCCTCTTGACCATGTATAAATGGTCTTTGAGTCTTAGGAACTGTACAAAGAGTTGCCAAGTCATTCATTTTTCTAGCAATACTATTGTTCCAATGTCCGGCACGCTTGTCTAATAGTTCTTCAATAGGGCGTTCAATTTCACTTATATGAGTTAACTAAAATTAGAAAAGAAAAATAATTATACAAGAAAATATTTATCACCACAAAATTAATTTCTAACCAAGTCGCAGCCAGTCCGATATTCATCGTACGGTGCTAATCCTGTTAATAACTCCAATAATACAACTCCAAAGCTGAAGACATCTACCTTCATAGAAATGTCACCTCTAAATGCCTCAGGTGACATATATGCAGACGTTCCTACTGCAACAGATGTCAATGTATGATCTCCAAGGCGTGTTAAGCCAAAGTCTCCAATCTAAGAACATTATAAGTAAATATATAATATACAACATTATTATATTATATAAGTATTATTGTGATACATGCCTTGGCAATAAATTTATTGTCTAGAAGTATATTAGCAGTTTTAATGTCCCGATGTATGAAAGGTGTTTCGAATGCTGTGTGTAAGTAAACTAAGCCACTGGCTACATCTGTTCCAATTTTTATTCTTAGTTTCCAATCTAATATTGATGATCTATACTGTTCAATCATATTGTTAATTAATTTTAAAATTGTATTTGATAGTATTTGTATCATTTTTCAAAAAACATACTTTGCACGCAATGCAATCAAGTAATGAACCATTCTCCATAAATTCATAAACACCACATGGCTGCTCATCGTATGAAATTGCCAGTAATGGTAATAAATTATCATGTTTAAATTGTAAAACAATATAAATTTCATTTAAATACTGTTTAAAATCCTTTTCTTCAAATATTTTTTCCATACGTTTTATTGCCACTATTTGGTTACTTAATTTGGCTTTGAATACTTTACCAAATCCACCAGCTCCAATTAAACATGTATCCGAAAATCCATTTGTGGCATTAGATAAGTATTTGTAAGATAACTTAATTTCATCAAACCTACAAAAAATTGTAATAATAATAAATTGTATTAACAAATTAAGAACAATTAACCAAACCCAATAGAACACAAACAATTAAGTGTTAACCTTTTCTTTTATACTCAAAACAGTTTTAAAATGGTCAAAAAAACGTTAATTAGTTCAATTTATTATTAACTTTGTGCAGAGCCCAACTTAGGAATTTCGGGGTCTAGCTATTTTTTTGAAATTATAATTTCAGTTTTTTTTTTACTATATCTTTTTTTTATATTCAATTTATTTTTAAGATAATAAATAAATTATACCATAAGTCTATAAGTAATTATTTAAAGTAGATCGGTATAAAGAAAAATATGACTGTATAACCCTCCCCCCTTAATTAGGGTTCTGACCAGGAGCGGATCATCAAAAATAAAATTACCAGAAAAATATTTAACACGTTGACGAATAGTAACTGCTGTAGCAGTCATACTAATTATAAAAATGTAATGTAAATACTAATTTAATTTTAAATTTTATGATTTTTGATTTATATACAAATAAGAAAAATTACTCAAAAAATGATTGAAATTAAAATTTATTATAATTTTCAAAATACAAAGTAGCATTTTTGAAGTGTTATACCAGGGGTTACCAACTGGCGGACCACGGTCCTCATCTGGACCGCAGACACGTTTTTTATGAACCCTAATGACTGCGTAATTATAAAATATATAATTAAGTATAGTTTTTACATTACATTTTTATAACAAAATGACAAATAAAAATATTTTCAGATATTGTGAGTATGGTATACATATATAATATTTATGTATATATTTTACGTGTATCCTTCACCGAGTGTTACGCTGAAAGCCCATAGATACAAAAAATAATTCAAAGATGTTGACTGATTCTTAGGTTAGTAATGTTAGACGTTCGCGTCGCTGCGTTATCGTATGCCGAAAAAACGAAACCTAAGAATTTCAAAAGTACGGTTTACTACAATTTGGTATGATTGTTATTAATTGTTAATGTGTGAAAAAAGTAATTGGGTATTTAAATGTGTCTTGGACCGTGGGAAGTTTGGTAAGTTTCAAAACGGACCCCCGTAGAAATTAGTTGTGTTATACTTTTGGTTGCCACAATATTTATATTATTCTCATTATCGAGATTTGATAATATATCTTTTTCTAAGGCCATAAGCCTGAAACATTCTACATGCTCTTGCGTGCATCCCAGTGGGCCTAAACGTCCCCGGCTCTGACACAGTGTAAAGACCAATTGATCCACCGTCTATATAATGTAAAAAATACTGTTTTAATTACTATTTATACCTTGTATTACTTTTATCATCATGTAAAATTGGTCTGGGTTCTATATGATGAGCAAAGAAAATAGAATTGCAATTCTCACTATTATCACTATTCGTGTTTTCATCATTATTGGCAAAGTCCATAGATGTTGCCAACATGTCAATAGGTTTATCTAGAAATATTCTACAAATGACATTTACATTTCACATAGTTAGAAGTCTAAACTTCATGTTATTTTTTTAATTACCAATCATGATTTTAGAAGCTATACATTCAGCAGCTCGTGTTAGTTTTAATTTGAACAACAGATCCATAAGTATCTTGAGGTTAGGCCTAATACGACCACTAGTTCCCCATTCTTCTAAAAATATTTCACTGCAATATCGCCGTTGAGTTTCGCCTGCCATTTCTATTAACCTAGAACAATTATGTGATTATTTTCAAAAATGTAAATAATAGGTAGGATGAACACCAAAATAAATATTACTTTAAGTGATCGTTGGTATATTTCAGACTTTTTTTGGGGTCACAGTCAACAGTTACAACAGCCATGAGTGATTTCCAGCCATCGTTAATGTTTAATAAATTGACCAGTTCATTTTTGAGCGAAGCATCCATTTTACGTATCTCTGTGGTTTCCAGCATCATATTTTCTAATAAACGTTGACTCGTTATAAAAAATATTGCAATATTAAATCAAAGTATAAAAAGTAAGTTAGTATCGGTGTTGTTATAGCGTTCAGTACGACCCAAATTCGTAGTAAATCTTAATAAAAATATGTCGAGATACTCAGTTACTACCACTGGGAGTCTGGGCTAAATAAAACTAATACAAAGTAATAAGTATGAATAAATAAATTGGAACTTGGAACCACAAAGATCTAATTATATTTTATGGATTATGATAGTGAGCAACAGGTCTTAGATCACAGATGATAACAGTTATCATGATTTTTTTTTTTTATTGAACAAAAATGTACAAATTTACATGTCAATATGTTGTACAATAAGTTAATATGAAAAGATTTGATTGACAGGAGGGATAAGTCGTTCAGTTGCGGCACCCCACTCATGATGGCTAAACAATTATGACTAAATAGTAAATACCTACGATCATAATATAATAATTATACTATATTATGATCCAAAGTAAATACCATGATTTAAGATATATCTTAAATTGTGATAAATACTAAATAGATAGGTAAGATCACAACTTTGTACACTTTACCTCGTCTATCGCGTAGTTCTCCTCTTCTGATTGGTTGTTAATGTGTATAGGTATCTTGTACCAAACTATATTAAATTGTTTACTAGTTTTTTTAGACAATTATACTACATTTTACAATTCATGAGACTTAAGTTTATAATATGTACCTACTTAAACTCATTTATATTTTATTAATTGCTATTTACATATTATTTAATGTATGACAGTCTTGTAAAAGATACTTTTAAAAAGTATTCAAGTATAGACACAGATATTTATTTTAAAATATGTATTGAATTCTTTGGAAAAAAAGTATTTACAGATAATTTCAAATACTTTCAACTATATCATTAAAGTAGGCTGTAATTTGCCTTTGATATATATGTATTTATGTTGTTGTTCTAACATAAAATATAAACCCGGTTAAATTCTCTGAAGTCATTATATGACTATAATTAAATTATAAGTGATTACTAAGTGTCCATTTACTAGAATTATACATACATTAAAATTGTAATAAATAACAAAATATTATTTTTTTAATTTTTTGTTCAGTTTATGACTAATGAATAATGATAAATCATTTGTGAAAATGAAAGCTTAAAAGTATACTAAATAGTTAAAGTATTAAATAAATGTTTTTTTTTTTTTAAAGTAAACCTAATTATGCAACATCTATTGTGACGTAACAAATACTTTAAAATATAAGTTTATACTAACAATCAATTGTCAAGGTATTAACACCATGGACACATAATATCAATAATACAGATTAGTGATTACCTTGGCAGAAGTCTTGATTACTCATTAATATTTAACAGATGGTTACGGAAAATGACAATGATGTTAATATTATAATAATTAATTTGGCTAATTTATAAATACTCACATCAACATAAGTTAGTTGAATTTATTTGCATCTAAAAATATCAAACCCTTCTTGATTTCAATACCTAAGTGCTTCCAATAATATTAATTTCATTATATTTTTAACCAAAGAAATGCCAACTGGATGAAATTGTATAAATTAAACTTAAAAATTCTTCAGTTATCAAATAACAAATAAGTCTTAAATTCAAATTTACACTGTATTTTATTGCATAAAATTTAAAACAGGATTGTTTCAATATTTTGAACAATACTATAAGGGTATTGTTACAAAATAAATAAATATTACAAAATTGATAGTTCTCAATTGTTTTATCTATAATGTATTTATCTAAGAAATAAATATATTATGTAAATAGTAAATACAGTGATCACAAGATAAGTTTTTAGAAAAAGTCAAACTTAACAAATTAATTCTTAAAGGCGTGTGTTCGTATAACATTTTCTATTTTCAAAATTTAGCATTAAACAAAATAATTAATATTAAGAAAACAATTGAGGAATGTGAGCAAAATAATAAAAAAAAAGACAGTTGTTCTTGTACATGATAACTGGCAATAACCCCTACAGGCTAAAACCAAAAAAAAAAATAAAAAAAAAAACAATAGCCTATTGAAATTCCCTTAAATTAATACTTGCTACAACAAAATTTATCTAAAAAGAATAAAGACAAAAAGTAAACAATAAATATCATTTAATATTTACTAATAATATCTTCACCTAAATTTTAAGACTAAACACACATTAATAGAATCATAATATTACACAATATATAATATAGAACAAAAATTACAAAACTTGAACTTAATTTTAATAGTTCGATGGGCAGACAACTTTGTCTTCTTACAATAGTGGCAGTACTGAGTGTATAATAAATACAGGCGGTGAGAAAAATTATTTGTATTTTAATTTTTTTTCTGAGAAAATTACTTTTCATTATTCTATAATTACTTCATACAAATATCTTTATTTTCGTAAAGAATATCGCTCAAATAAATAACGAAAAACAAACTTTCTCACCTATTTCGTTTCAAAAACAACAATCAAATATTATAATTTTTCTCATGGTCTATAAACAATTAATTTTTACTTTTTGGAGTATATTTAAAATTGATCTATGAAATATTTATTCATCATAAATCTGTGATTATGACAATCAGATTTTAAGTAACATCGAGAAGGCAAATTAATACATTTTCATAAATTTTCTAAATAATAGTGATGTAAGGTAAAAATTGTTATAATGGTCAACCAAAAACACTATAAATAGCGTTATTATTTATCAATTAATTTAATACATTTTAATTAACATAATACACATACACACACAAACATAGACACACACACCAATTGAATTTATAATAATTATCAACTATTAAATATTTTTATTTTCTTGTTAGCTAACAAATTAAAAATCAGCTCAAATGAGAACATTTTTAAATTAAAGAAATCCTATAGAGAACCTAAAATTAAATACAGTAATTAGCTAGGTATATTCCTAGAGTGGTTCTTCAGTCTTATTTGCATTCATTGACGTCTGGTCATAAGGAGATTTTTATTTTTGCAAATAAAAATAAATGCTCATACATACATGCAAGCATGCATATATTTACATCTATATATTTATATTTGTATAAATACATACTTATTTAAGTTTAACTATAATTTAAATTAATATAAATATTTATACAAATTATTTTATAAAATTTAATTTTTACCGATAATGTAACTGTTTGTAGTTCAACACAATATAACTTCCATTATTTTGTATCACCTTCACCTACCACATAATTGGGGTTAGCTACTAACATTAGGCTTCTCTGAAAAATGCCATTTCCTAGAAATTCTACACAAACACTATTAAGGGAGACATTTATAACATGCATTTTCACATTCAGTTCATCTTTGGCCTTCCACTTCTACTGTTTCCCTACATGGAGGAAGTCTTATAACTTCTTTACTATTGAATTTTCTTCATTTAATGGACACAACACCTTAGCCTAGTTCTCTCTATGTTAAACTATTTTACATTTTTTACTTTAACATAATATATTGAAATATGATTAAATTAGCTATTTTACATATCAAATAAAAAATTAATAACTTAGTATTTTTAAATAACAATAAACAATTGATATTCATCAATTTTTTTATATTCAAAATTTAAAGCGTAAAGGCAAAAATTATATTTATGTTTCAGTTCATACTGGTTTAAATTGGTAACATATTCACTAAAAAATAAAATACATTAAATACAATAAAAATTCTCCATTAACGTTGAAATATAGTTAGAAAAATTACCCCTGGATACAATTCTCCTAAAATGTTATACTTTAGATGCCAAATATATCAACATATACTTTTACCTAAATATTAATATTTATTTAATTCAAATACAAAGAGTAACACAGTAAAATTATACATACAAAAAAATATATACATTTGTGTTTGCCACTGAGATAAACCTCTTTACCAGTGTATACAAAATATGAGTTTCAATTAAAATATTATTTATATTACAACACAAACTACAAACAAATTATATAATTACCCATCCAGCGAAGTAACAGAGTTATCTGACTTAGAGTGGTTTTGAGAATTATATGAGACAATATGAGATGGGTCTGAGAATACTATATCCGCAAGTCCATCACAGATGGCATCTAACACGGCATCAGAAGACTGACCGATCTGTTGTTCTCGTACCGGTATTGTATGAACACCTGGCCTAATAGTCGTATAACCATCTACTTCATCAATGCCTTCATCAACCATGACACCTGGCCTAATAGTTGTATAACCATCTACTTCATCAATGCCTTCATCAGCCATGGGAACAAGTTGTTCTAGAACTGGAGCTGTGTTACGTTTTTTGTTTTTTTTCCAATTCAAACCTCCAATCATTTTCATGAGTGGAAATGTACTACTTGCGGCTTCCCATACATTTACATAATTTTTTTTATTTGATTCTTCTACCACCATACTTGTGCTACAGAACATAAAACACAAATGTAAATATTATATAACAACAATTGCAATACACAATATAGTATGCATATTATAAAATACAATTAGAAGGAATAACTCTAACAGAAATAATTTTGACTTAATATAACGATATGTACGTTATAGAAACATAATTTAGAGTTCAATAAATAATTTACTAATTTACTATGCTATGAAAAGAATAAACGTAGTTATATATTGCATTAACATACTTTTCACAGGGAAGTAATCCTTGGCTCGGTTTCATTGGTGTGTAACTATCAACAAGTTCAATACCAGGCACCTCTGAAACTCTTTCTAATGTAGGTGACAAATACGTATGTGAAGATGTTGGAGGTGATCTGGAAATACCATGAACAGCTCCAGATAGTGTCCTTTTAATATCTACAGAAGACACTATAGATTTTGGAGGGGAACGACCAGTTGGTCTATGAGTGTATGACGGATCAGGAGAAGGACAAAGTTTAGGTGATGACCTTGGTGATAAATCTGCTGGTGGCTGAATAGACAAGGTGCGACATGTTGCCGAATAATGACGACGAGATTTTGAATTACAACTAAAATCTATTTCCATTCGATCGCCACTATCACTATGTTCAGACATACTGGTCGAACCAGACTGATATCCATTCCGAGGTAGCCCAGTTGGGGGTAATCGACCGCGGCTGCCAACTGAAAATGCACGCGTTCTTGTTCGATCAGCTAATCTAAAAAAAAAATAATAATAATAATAGTTAATTATTATATGATTATAAATGTTTTAATTATCAATGTATACTTGTCAATTTTCTCTCTCAAGCCATCTGGTCTGGAACCAACAGAATAGGCTCGAGTAGGCCTTTCAATAGGTCCTTCGTCCTCAGATGGTGTAAGGTAAGCACACACTTTATCCAGATGAATGTCAGAAAAGCGTGTGTCTGTAGAAGGTGTACCAGATTCAATAGATCCTTGCTTACAATCCATAGACACATAATCAGACATTCTACCAACGGGTGCCATAGGAACATAGCCTTCAGGTGATTCAAATTCTGTTTGAGGCATTTCAGTAGGTTCTATTGGAATGTATATAATAAATGAAAATTTACTTTAAAAATATAATAATAAATAATTATTTAAAATATATTCAAATAATCAATATATTTTACAGTAAGCCAATTAAAAAGTTATATTTAACTAGCCAGAGACAAGTATCATACTGAATTAACTAACAAATAATCAAAATAATTTTGTAATAACTATCATTACAGCAACAATGACCATGAACTTTGCATTCCCCCTCTATAAATTGTATACAAATCATATCCAAGTTACAGATTAATTATTATCTAGAATGCTATATTATTTATCTTGTTTAGTTTTATTATATATATTTAATTGAAATATTCAGAATATTAAGATTTTTTAATTTTTATTATTATTATTGAAATATTAGCTTTACAATATTTATCTTCACAAAATATTGATAAATATTTCTATTAAACAGGAATGGAATGTTTTTAATTTATTTTGTAGGAATTCACTATAATTAAATTTCTATTCAATATATAATATGCAACCTTATCAGAAAATTGGAAGGGATATCAAAGAATTGTATTGTGTCCACAAACCTATTGTTTGAACACAAATTTTTGACAAGCTTGTTTATTTTGGTGATCCAATTCACATACATAAAATGTGTTTTGTTTTTAACTATCAACATTTATTTTCTAAGTCGATTCTTGTGATTTTGGAAGAATGCTATGACAGAGTTTTAAGAATTTATAACAATTCATTTTTACAATTTTCTTACTTATTTCACAATTAGGATTTTAATTGTATTTAATTGTTTTAAATCAGTAGTTATTAATTAAAAAGCAAAAAATTACCTTGTTTAGAATTACTATGTCCTTCCAATGGCATAACATTTACACAGTTACTAGAAAACGTATATCCTGGTTTCATTGGAAGGTATCCATCTGGTGGTGGAGACGTTTCAGACGTACCTAATGATTATAAATTATTGAAAGTAACATGAACGAACAAGTTTTACTAATAAGATATTTACTAACCAGAAGGGTTTAAAGGAGTATATGCATCATCTACATTGATGGGTGAGCCATATGGACTATTTGAGTCACAACAAGAACCCGCCTATATATATTAAAATTAGAATATCAATAAATAATATTATGTAATTTAATTAAAAATAAACTACTTGACTATATTATTAAATTTAAAACATTTAACTTATAAACTATTATCATTCTTACAAAAAAATTGCAAACAATCATATAAATAAAAAAAATCCATGAATAAATATTTCAATATTATAGTTAAAGACTGGATTTATGTTTTTACATATTGTTACTGAACCTATGCAGTCTTAAGCATGGTTTAGACCAAGAAATATTTGTCAGAAATTAGTGTTTCTGATCTTTTCGTCAATAAATATTTATGTTATTGCTTATAATGGGAAATCGGAAAAAATATCTACGACAAATTTTTCTTAGGTCTGGAAGAGGCTTTACGAGAGTAAATAGAGATTTGCTCAATTCTGAGTTTGTAGGAAAAAGTTTTTTTTGCATATTTGAGAATATTGCATGGGTTAGGGAATATTAAGGTTATTTAACATATTTTGGAATATTTTGTAAATTGTGAGAAAAAAACATTTATTTTAATATTACGGTACCAGGAAAATTTTTTATGAACATTTTCAAATTATTTGATCGTGTGAAGGGGGCTTTATGTTTATTGTTCATCAAATATTCAAATGTCCAAATATTTTGTTTTGAAATTTTATAATTACATACATAATTGCGATGTCATGATTTTTAAGTTTTTAAAATGATCAAAAGAAAAAAACCAGTTAGTTTTAAAAGAACAAATGTATGTACTACACTAATAAATAAAAGGAATGTTGAAAAAAAAAAAAAATTACAAATTAAAGCATAAATCGATTTTCATTGATTGTTTTTGCATATTTTTAAATTTCTGAGAATATACCGAGAATTTTAGAAAATATTAGCATCATATTTTAAGTATTTTAATAGTATATAAATCCTGTCTTAAATTATAATTTATTAATTATATTAAAGGAATAACAATTTTTATGGGGAAAAGTTATAATTAATATTATTATTTGATAAAAACTAACCTGAGAAGAGGAACTGGATTTATTACCAACAATATTGTTGTTAATCAAGTTAATATTATTATTAACATAACTGTCACTTGTTTGTCTCAAAGAATCTTCTTCTACAAGTAAAAAAATACAGAAGCTTATAAAATGAAATGTATTTAACACTTATTAATATTAATTGATATGGAATATTAACTATAAATAATAAATTATAATTACAAAAATACCTTTGTCTAATGGAGTATAAGAAACAAAATCTTCTTGTTTTTCCTCAAGTATTGCAGAACGGTGGTCATTAAGACTCGTATAAAATGAAGAGATTCCATCTGTGGTATCTGTAGACTTTGATAGTGACGAATCCCAAGTACTCAAGTTAGAATCGTTAAACCTAAATAAATTATTATTTGTATTTTTTTTTAATAAGAGTCAATTATATGTAACATACGCTGATAATGATGAAGATGCTGAAACACAATTACAACCTTTGTGGAAAGTTTGTTTTGGAGATAAAATTCCATTGAAAGAACGCGTCGATGAAGTTGTGTTTTCACTAATAGTGCGTGGTCGCAATGGCATGCTATCACAACGCTCCCTAACTGATACTGAAAAAAGTAATTAGACCAATTTATTTTATTTACTAGACATAAACCAAATTTAATACAAATTTATTTTAATATTTATAAAAATAATAAAAATACTACAGAATCAAAACTTGAAAATTAAAAATGTTTAATTTTAAATAAATTATTTTCAATCGTTGATGAGTTACTTAGGTAATATTTTTTCTTATGAGAACTGAAGGGTAAGATATTTTATTGAAAAGTCAACCATCAGAGCATTCTACAAAAAGTTACTTTTAGAATATTGTATAAACATTTTTGGCCAATTTTGAACATATACAAATATAAATAATATTTAACTTGTAAATTCATTGATTTTTAAAATAAAAAAAATAATAAAATATGCAAATATAAATACTTTATATGATTGTAACATTATTCAGGTAGTATAATATGATACTATGTATCAAAAATATGGCGTTTAATGTATAAAGTGATAATTAGAAGTACCACATACAACTAATCTTTAATTAAATACATATAACATTTCTGAATATTCTAATCTCACTAGAATGTGATCTTTGCTACAAATATCTGATGAAATAATTTATATTGATTTGATGAGTTTTAGTCTAGTTAATTTTATAACAGTAAATATTCCAGCTTTAACATATTTATTAAACAATGTATTTTCACCTATCAATCATTAAAGGGCACGTTTCAAAATATTAGGACAATTTATTGCCTTAAAGTGTGTTTTTTAACAATACAATTAAATTCCAACCAAAAACTAAAATAATCAATTTATTTACAATTACCTTTTAAACTTAAAAATGTATCATAAAATTTTTTATTAAATACAATATGTATAAGAAATAAAAATGATTAATGCTTATGGGATAGAAGAAAAATTACAATATTTTTAATTTTTAATCAGTAATTAATATCTAACTGATTATCAAAAATATATATAACAATCAGCGTAAAAACAATAAACATAATTACCATTTAAAATTTGTAATCATATAAAAACAAAAAAAATATAAAATCTTAAAATGGTTTACATAAAAAGTTCATACATTTAAATAGTGTCGAAAAACATTCTAGTTAGTTAATACCTTAAATTAAATTACCTGCACGAGTTAAATCAATATTTCCATTATTTAAAGTTGAGGAACTTTGACTATTATTTTTATATCGAAGCCCAGGGTGATTTTCGTCTAAAATGTTATTTCCGAAAAGTTAATAACAGAAAATTTTATAAGCTCTGTAAAAAAATATACCATAAAAACAACTAGAACGCTGTCTTATTGGATAGTTTATAAGTCGTGATCCTTCATTAAATGATGATGATCTCATTCTAAATCTAGGATCATGATTTCGACTTGATGCGCCCATTATAGTTTCGTGAACACTAGTTGCAACATCATCGTTCCATGTATCCATCCATATATGACCAGGTCCAAATGGAGAACTTTGTCCTACTTCCATGTAAAAAAATGTACCCAAAGCTCCACATCGACGAATACTTGACAACTGTAATAAAACAAACAAATATAATTTTAATAATAGAACAAATATAAATGAATGTATATAAATACTTGATAAATACCATTATATCCATAGATTTTTGTTCTTTTGATTTAGTGGGATATTTCATGATGCTCACTTTTTTGTCACATAAACAGAGTCCAGTCATGCCTATTAAATTTGCATTCATTCCCAACTCTTTTTTTAGTATAGAGATGTGCCAAATATGCTCTGCAAAATAATATGTAATTAAAACATGTCAATACACTACAAAATGATAAAAGCTATAAGCTAAATACCGAAAGGTTCTTTGAGTGAAACACCAGGTCCAAAATCTTTAGTAACTCGTTGTAAAACTAACATAAGGTCCAACCACTCGTCACATTCTTTGTCACTATCGAATTGTATATAAAAGGAACTTTCCTTAGTATACAAACATATCAGTGTCTTTTTAGTACGCGCATCTACACGTTTGTCTATATTGAAGCACGACTTTAACACAATGACTCTGTAATAAAATATACAACAAAAGGATTGACAATATTATATTTAATAAAATATTAAATAATTTAATTCAAATAAGTAGTAAATTATAATATACTTTTTAGGCATTGCATTGTTTCTCCATTTTTTTTCAGTTTCATAATACTCGAGGCGTGCAGGTCCACCACCTGCGGTCTCTTCTCGAAGTACAAAAAACTTTTTTCTCATATTCTTATTTTTTTTCAAATATCCAATCTTAACAACACCAGCCATAGCATTTCTAGGCTTAGGTGAGTCAGTAAGTTGGGCCAATAACAAGCTCATTTTAAATAATTTCTGAAAATAAAAAAAAAACAATAAAAACTTTTAGGTCTAACATAAGTTATTGTAAAATATGTTAAGTAACAATGTTTTTAAAATATATATATATACCATAAGACACATCATTGAGTTATTTAAGTAATACCAGAGTATAGGTAAAAAAAAAATTAAAATGAAAAAACAGCTAGGTAGGTGCTTAGGTTAAAGAAAAATACTAACACATTTTATTAAGATAAATGACATAGGTATTCAAAATGAATGAAATTATTAAAATTGAACAACTGATTGAATTCTACAGGTCAACAAATAAAAACATAAGATATATACCTATTTAGTAATTAGTGTATTGGGTTAATAGGAAATTCTTATCATTAAGAAAACAAACAATAACAATAAAAATGTTAGAAATGGGAAATTCACATATAAATAAGATATGAAAAACAGCAATTATTTTTCGTGTTACAAACTATAAGCCAATAGATGCATATAAATATAATTATGTATACATTGTGTACACATTATACACAATACTGAATACACATATATTCAAATATAAATAAATAGGTGCCTACTAGTTATTATCTTTATCGTTATTCATTTTTATTTTAATATCAATTTGATAAAATTATTAATACTATGCTTGGATTACAACTAATGCCAAAAAAAATAATATGACACATTAAAAGAATTTCTTGACAGTTTAACCCACCCATCCAATCTACCAATGATTGAAACACGCTTAGTCACACACTCTAGGTCTTTTTGAACATTAACATACATTTACACATTAAATTAATAATTCCAATCCAAATACAAGAGTTACTCGTAAACTAAAATTTAATTTAATTTATTTAGTTGAGGTATTAAATAATATTATCTGATTTAAACATTTTTTAATGTATAATTAAGAAAAAATATCATAGGTTTTACAATATAATAATGGCAAAAAAATGTTATCGTTTTTATAGTGTGGACTGATAATATAAATTATACTATTATAAAATAATCTTACTGACTTCAATACTAACAACAATAAGAATAAATGGTTTATTATCGAACATTAGAATAAAACGAAAATACATTCCTAACATGGTCTCGCACAGTCTTCTGACCAAGTACAGATTTTAAATATATCAATAAAAACCATGATTGGTAGTTCAATGTTCTAGTCTTCTAGATAGCATTTAGTTATAATGTGACATGTTACTCCAAATTTATGAAAATAGGTACTTAAATTAGATATGTTTCTTTAATGAATAATTTTTTTTTTTTTTTGGATTTAACAATCTACCTATAAAATTTTTTTATTAACAAACTTTAGTGAGGACAGAATTAAGTTTAGCTTGGAATTTTGAGGGGAGGAGGTGCATACTGATGACACTCCTGGGGTGTGTTTATACATGATCTGCAGGTTAGACAGGCCCTTCGTTACACCCTATTTATTATAAAGATTTTTCGTATGATTGCCGGGCATTGACTTGGTTAATTGTTTTGCTAGAATATCTGGACGATAGGAGAGAGCAATGGCAATGTGTGTAGGACTTAATAGCAATTTCTAACATTATATCACTTTTTTAGATATGTGTGCTGTGTTTAATTTTAGAGACTTGTTACTAAAAACCAATTTTGTTTTGAGTTAGGTTTGATTACTTTTTCTCATTGTAAACCACAATTAAGTTTTGTAGTTTTTAAAAGGTTTAGTTTAATGTGGATTAAAAGTTTTGAATTTGAGTTTATATATATGTAAGGATAAAAAGACAAAATTTAGTTTAAGATTGGTGTTATGGCGATGGTGGGCCTAGGTCAAATTTTTGTAGAAGTGAACACTTTGAAGTAATTTACTTATTTTAAACTAAGTGGGATTGTAACTTGGAGTTAATACAGTGTACTCAAAGTAACTCAAAGCTCACGGGAAAAAAAAAATTTGACTTAGGTACTAAAAATTTTGAGCTACCAAAATCTTAATGTGTTATTGTTATTTGGAGGGGAATTTTATTTGTTCGAGATGGCGAGAATTTCGAGTTATCAAGGTTCAACTTACCTAGAGTACACTGTATGTTCTTAAATTTTTACATTTCACTCATACCAGGTTTTAATATAAGAAAGATAATATTAATATTGAAAATGATTAGATATTCACAAACTTAGAGATTATTTTATCTTTAGCATATTCAGCAACAAAAGTAGATGTAATGAGAAGTGGGTTGCTCCACAATAACAAATATCGAATAGGTATATATGACTTGGAGAACTCAAGTCAAGTTGTGCGTTTGAAATATTCCAAAATAGCAAAATGCCCGTGGTCACTGTGTCATAAGTAACATTTTAAACAATAATATTTACCATGGGACCAAAAATAATATTCTACATTAAGCATTTAAAGTTTAAACATAGGTAGTATCTCTATTGTTCACTGAGGTGGAAAAGTATTTTTAGGATTTATTATTAAGCAATAATAGGGTACCGTTTATGAACTTACCAAATCAAATTTTTCATACACAACTACTGTATCAAGAATGAACAATAATGATTTAGTTAGCAGGTACATATTTTTTATTTAAGAATAGTTACGAACGTTTTTGGTTTTTATTTTATCAGTTTAATCTACACAATTTCAGTATGATAATAAATATCAAGTAGTATTGCACTACCTCCTACTAAATAATATATATATATATATACGTCTACTGAAATTAATTTTTATCTATAATGAATACGATCTGAGATACGTACCTAAATTTACCTATCAGTTAGGTATTAAATATACATAAATACAAAAATATTTGATAATTGAATTAGGCCAGAAGCTGATTTTTAATGATTATATGACAATAACGATAATACCAACCATTTGAGTGTAACAACAATGTAAAGCTACAAACAATGAAATAATTGTGTGAAGTTAAAAATAAAATATAGGTACTTATATCGTGTAGGTACATATTATTACTGTAGACACCAAGTTGATAATATAAAATAATAAAAAAAAATAATAATCAATACCTACACGCTTACCTAAATTAACAATGAAAAGTATGATTTCTTTAATGATTATTAGAATTGTAAAAATAATAAATATATTAAATATACCTACGGGACTACCGCATGAATAAAAATGATTGCCTTAGGAAAACATTTATACCAAAAAAATAACACTACAGTAGCTACCATCGCGTGTTTATGTAGAGCAATAAGTAAATTAGGTAAATAAAAGCTGTTAATCAAACAAAATGTAATACTTAGTAACATTTAATCAATAAGATGTTATTATTTATTAATTGTTTATTTATTTTAAATTTCTCTAATATACCTAGGTGTGTACCCACTCGTCGGATGAAATGTATGGAAGTAATAAAATGTCAATAGATAGCATTATTTGATTGACTGGTTAGAAGAATTGTTTTAATACATAATTTGTATAAATTGTAATAAAAAAAAAATATATATAAATTTGTTCGTAGGCAATTACTCATATTGAAAACTTAAAATACTTTAAAATACCTCCTGGTAGGTAAGCAAAACAAACAAATAAACAAACAAATTATTTAACTGATATTAAATTGAAAAACATCTGAACAGTTATCAGAATATTCAAAATAAAACAATATTGATATCAGTTTATTCTAGTACCTATGCAATTTATTTTTTAAAACAAAACAAATTATAATTAGGTAGTCGAGTTTTACAATAGATTTCAGATGATCGTTTCTAATCAGGAACCAACACATTTCAATCAGCTTCACAATAAAACAGATATTAAAATAATTACAAATAAAAAGCATTCGAGAGAAATTCTGTGATCAAGGTTATTCCATGGGTAGAGTGCCTACACATACCTACACGAATGTAACAGGAAAAAATATAAATTTATCTAAAACTAAGGCCTAGGTATATACCTAGATATGCGAGAGATTTTTTTACAGATTTTTATGTAGCACGATACAACCGTTAATGTTTTCTTATTAGCCGTAATTAAAATGATAAAGCAAAAAATATTTTAATTTACTTCATAAAAGCCGTAGAGGTCAACATTGTCAAATGCATACAATTTATGATAATGGTACGTTAATTGGATTATAGACACCTAAATTTCACATTAAAAACTAATATAAAATTATATTCCTACATTGCAATAGGTTTGGCAAATGTGTTATCATCGGTTAAGCACTATTGAATGTATTTATTATTAATTGACGATGAGCATAGTATTATCACTGCAGACGATAGCAGCACAAATAAACCAACGGCAACAGCCAAATAGGTACAAAACAATGTTTTTAAACCATCACACGTTATCCAATTCCAACGACATGGGTAGGTTTAACATCGTAAAAAGACTCAATCAATTTCTCTACAAAATCATTGGAGAACGGGGAAAAACTTAAAAAAAAAAAAAAATGATCTGATTTTTAGCCGGTCACGTCTTGGGAGTCGCGAGACGGGATAGTATCGGACTACATCGTCGACACAGGACAATAACAAAAAAAAACAACATTAAAATCCAATCCATAACACACGACATTGTTATTGTTGTTGTACCTAGGCATGTGCAATAGCAATAGTATGGGAATAATAGGCATAGGTACACCACACTACACCTATAATACGTTAGGTACCTATCCATTCAAGAACGGGCAGTTATGTCAAGGGCATGCACTGTTTACGTTATTATCGTTCCGTTTTGTTTTTTTTTTTCATTCTTTTACACAATTGCTCGCAATAAAAATAACACGCAATAAGTAATAACACACTTACTTCTCGTCTGGTATTTCCTTTCGCGTGTGCGGCGGATCCCGACACACTCGGTTTTTTGGAGTTTTCTGAACTATATCAATAATATTGTTGTACCGTACACGAACTGACTAGAACCGACGTGGCCACACATAGCACTACAATAATAATGGTAATAGTAATAATAATAATGTTGCGAGTTTCGCGCACACGCCGCCTCTTACACGGCCACGAAAACGTGCGTCGCAGTAGCAGCTATATCACACGGCACACGACGGTATGGGTACGTAAGGTTCGCGTAAAATGTACGTATAAATATCACACTCTAAATGAGATGTGTGAATATTATTAATCTGCACCGGTCGTGCTGTTCACCGTGTACCGCGAGAAAAAAT